GGAGAACCAGGTGCTGATCCCTAGCCCTGCTGACAAAATAGACAATCCTGCTGCACCAAGTCAGTAGTCCTGGGCTCTGAGACTGGCTGGTGTGTGTGTGTATATAATTTTGTGCAGTATAGACTTTATTTATAAATGCAGAATTGGCATAAAATGCTTGCTTTGTGGCTTGACGGCAGCATGTTGTACAAATACTGACAAAATTTCATTCTTGGAACTTTACAAGCAGCTCATTACAAGTTTATGCTCTCCAAGTGCCTCTCTTCTAGAAAACAGAAGTGATAATTGTGTGCTGGGTAGGGCTGTTGATTAATCGCAGTTAACTCACGCAATTAACTCAAAATTAATCGCAGTTTTAATCGCACTGTTAAACAATAGGATACTAATTGAAATTTATTAAATATTTTGGATGTTCTACATTTTTATATATATTCTGTGTTGTAATTGAAATCAAAGTGTGTATTTTTATTACGAAATATTTGAACTGTAAAAATCATAAACCAAAGAGATAATATTTTTTCAATTCACCTCATACAAGTACTGTAGTGCAATCTCTTTTTGTCATGAAAGTGCAACTTACAAACGTAGATTTTTGGAGTGTGTTTTTGTTTGCTACATAATTGTACTCAAAAAAAGTAAAATTTCAGTGCCTACGAGTCCACTCAGTCCTACTTCTTGTTCAGCCAATCACTAAGACAAACAAGTTTGTTTACATTTACAGGAGATAATGCTGCCTGCTTCTTATTTACCATGTCACCAGAAAGTGAGAATAGGCATTTGCATGGCACTGTTGTAGCCGGCATTGCAAGGTATTTACATGCCTGATATGCTAAACATTCGTATGACCCTTCATGCTTTGGCCACCATTCTAGAGGACATGTTTCCATGCTGACAATGCTATTTTAAAAATGTGTTAATTAAATTGGTGATTGAACTCCATGGAGGAGAATTGTATGTTCCCTGCTCTGTTTTACCTGCATTCATCCAAGACTGCTATAATATGAAATATATGGCAGATGACCCAGCACACGTTGTTCATTTTAAGAACACTTTTTCACTGTAGATTTGACAAAACCCAAAGAAGGTACCAATTTGAGATTTCTAAAGATAGCTACAGCACTTGACCCAAGGTTTAAGAATCTGAAGTGCCTTCCAAAATCTGAGAGGGACGAGGTGTGGAGCATGTTTTCAGAAGTCTTAAAAGAGCAACACTCCAATGTGGAAAGTACAGAACCTGAACCACCAAAAAAAGAAAATTAATCTTCTGCTGGTGACATCTGACTCCGATAATGAAAATGAACATGCGTTGGTCCACATTGCTTTGGATTATTGAGCAGAAACCATCATCAGCTTGGACACATGATGGTTGAAGCATGAAGGGATATATGAATATGAATCTTTAGCCCATCTGGCATGTAAATATCTTGCGACACCGGCTACGAAAGTGCCATGTGAATGCCTGTTTTCACTTTCAGGTGACATGGTAAACAAGAACCGGGCAGTATTATTTCCTGCAAATGTAAATTAACTTTTGTTTTAGCAATTGGCTGAACAAGAAGTAGGACTGAGTGGACTTGTAAAACTTGAGAGCCTACATTGTTTTGTTTTTGAATGCAGTTATGTAACCAAAAAAATCTACATTTGTAAGTTGTACTTTCGCGACAAAGAGATTGCACTACAGTACTTGTATGAGGTGAATTGAAGAATGCTATTCTTTTTACAGTGTAAATACTTGTAATAAATCTAAAGTGATAACTGTACACTTTGCATTCTGTATTGTAATTTAAATCAAAATACTTGAAAATGTAGAAAACATCCAAAAATATTTAAATACTATTCTATTATTGTTTAACAGTGCAATTAATTGTGATTAATTTTTTTAATTTCTTGACAGCCCTAGTGATGGGATCATTTGGTAATGGCTCTCTTTGTTGCAGATACCTAGGATACATTTGTGATCTAATAGCAGAAAAGCCCATCCACCCTCACTGTAAGCCTCTTACTATCAAATCAGTCTCTCTCAGTCCGGTCCCCTGTTTCAATAAACAGAGAAATGGGTGTCGACCCTTCTGTGACATTCTGATTGGAGAAACCAGAATCTTTACAACCTCCCAGGAATATGAAAGAATGAAGTAAGTTACTATGGCTTTCTTATCTCTTAATGATGCTAATAAGTCTTTTTTATTTATTTATTTTTTAGTGTAATACATCTAATTTCCTGGGCTCCGGATGGGTGGGTGGGCGTTTTTGGTTTGTTTTCCCCCTGACTGATTAAATTGGGCAAGATAATGCTACTAGAAGTGAAAATGTTATTGGAAAGTTGATGCCCAGTGTTAAAACTCGACTGCCAGAGCTTGTCTGAACTTCTGTTATGAGGTGCTGGGGCTTACCACTATACTAGTAGTTCTATGTGAAGCATTACTGTTTCAACTGACAACTAGCCAGAGAACAGAATGCTACTTCTGTCAACTAATCATGGTCTGAGTTTTGAGATTATGTATTTTCAAAGTACACAAGCAATAATTTTAATGGTACTGCTGAAGTGAGCATAACAATGGACTTCTTCCTCATTTGTTTTAAAGGGAATTCCGTATGCAAGAAGGGAAAGTCCTAATTCCATTAGGAGTTACTGTTCATGGAGATGTTGTCCTTTCTGTCTACCATATGAGATCAACCATTGGGGGACGACTTCAAGCAAAAGTATAGTTTGGTCTACCTTTTGATATGCACAACACAAACACTGAGTCAAAGACTGACCCTGGCACTCAGATTGAAGTGGAAAGAGGCAAAGTAGCCATAAAAATGTTTGGCATGACCCCAACCTCTCCAAATCTTTAGGAGTGAAGCTCCGAGTAGGCAGTGGCAGTGCTGATGGCACTGTATAGAGGGGGGCCAGGCAGGGTCCCTCCAGCTGCTAGACCGAAAGACCCTCTGCCGGTAACTAGCTTGAAGCAACGGCCCATTGGAATCCCTACCCTGCCACATATGGAAGGAGGTGGCAACAAGCCAGTATCTCCACATTCCTAATCCCTACCAAATTCACGGCCATGGAAAAACTCATCCCGGACCGTGAAATCTTGTCTTCTCCTGTGAAATAGTCTTTTTTTGTGTGTTTTTACCCTATACTATGCAGATTTCACAGGTGAGACCAACGTTTCTCAAATTGGGGGTCCTTTCCCAAAAGGGAGTTGGGGGCGGGGGGGGTTGCAAGGTTATTTTAGGGGGGTTGCAGTATTGCCACCCTTACTTCTGCGCTGCCTTCAGGGCTGGGCAACTGGAGAGCAGTGGCTGTTGGCCAGGGGCCCAGTTCTGAAGGCAGCAGCACAGAAGTAGGGTGGCAGTGATATGGTATTGCCATCCTTTACATCTGTGTTGCTGCCTTCAGAGCTGGGTGGCTGGAGAGTGGTGGCTGCGGACTGAGGGCCCAGCTCTGAAGGCAGCAGCACAGAAGTAAAGATGGCAATACCAGCTGCAGCTCTCAGCCGGCAGCCACCACTCTCCAGCTGCCCAGTTCTGAAGACAGCAGCGCCGCCAGCAGCAGCGCAGAAGTAAGGGTAGCAGTACCGCAAACCCCCTATAATAACCTTGTGACCCTCCCCCCAACTCCTTTTTGGGTCAGGACCCCTACAATTACAGCACCGTGAAATTTCAGATTTAAATAGCTGAAATTATGAAACTTTCAATTTCACACTTATACAATTTTTAAAAATTGTCCAAGATGGACCGTGAATTTGGTAGGCCCTACTAATGTGCCATTTCATCATCCTCTGGGTGGACTGGGCTGGAGTGGAGTCTTCATTTGCAGGAGGAAAGTTCCTGCATTCTCTCAGGATTAGGTCAACGGACTTTTAACATACATAATGTCAACATGGTTGTCTGTCAGAACAGATATATAATAAAATCATTAAAATAAAACTAAGATCTCTTGAGAAATGAGAACAAAGGGGAGTAATGTTTACTCAGCACTGAGGTGTTCTGAATTACATGCAAGGAAGGAGAGCTGAAGATGATTAGAGATATTGGACTCTGAGATAGAAAAGCTGTTGTATGCTTGAAAAACAAATTAGGTGATGACATAATAAGATGTAGGTGTCAGTAAAGACTTTCATTCACTTTACTCCTGAGGGCATTCTGTGCCAGAAAAATTTAAAATTCTGCACATTTTATTTATCAAATGTGGAGGCTCCAGCATGGCAGGCCACTGGTTGCACAGAGGTGGGAGATCACTGTGCAGCTCCTCCCAGGACATAGACTCAGTGGCGAGGCTGCACCCAACCCTGACACAGCACAAGGACCGGCCTGCCCCAGAAACACCCCAGGGCCCTGCCCACCAGGTGTGGGCAGGCAGACTCCGCAAGGCAGGATCCAAGTGTGTGGGGGATCCACGTGTGGATTGAGAGGGTTCTGTGTGGGGCAATCTGGGTGTGGGTGGCTCAGTGGAGGATCCAGGTGCAGGGGGGATCTGGATGCACAGGGGCTTGTTTGGGGGGAGGGGGGGAGGTTCTGGGTGCAGTAGTAATGGGACTCTGCAGGAGGGTCCAGGTGAAGGTGCTTGGGGCTCACGGTGGAGGTTTGGGTGTGGAGGAATTAGAGCTTGACAGAGGGGTATGGGTGTGGGGGAATTCTGGGGGGTCTAGAGGCAGCTGGTTGGAGCTTGGTGAGGATGTGGATGGCTTGTTGGGGTGATGCGGGGGAGTGTGGCTCATTTGGGGGGGTTCTGAGTGCAGGGGGGGGTGAGGCTCAGTGAGAGGGTTTGGGTTTGAGGGGGTCTGGATGCACAGGAGTTGGGCGGATGGGGGGAGCAGCTCCTCCTATAGGGATCCCTTCCCCTGCAACTGAGGAGCAATGGGTGCAGAAAACCAGGGGGAGCGGGAGAGTTTGCAGAGCTTCCTTCAGCCGGGAGAGAAATCTGGGGGTGGGTCTGATCCAGCCCCGGTTGCTGTGCAAGGAAAGAGGAAGTCCTGTCCTCCCCAGCCCAACCGGGACTAGCAGCTGAGCCTGGCACGGGATAGGAGCCACCAGCCAGAATCTTCCCCAGTCCTGCCTCCTGCCCCACAGTGACTTACTTCTCTGCCAGCTGCTCTGGGCCCCCGAAACATGCTGCTGGGGAGGGTCGCCTGACCGCTTTTGTGGCTTCCCTTTGCTTCCCTGTCAGAGTCATTTTTCTGTAGGGAAGCAAATCTGCAGGGAACATAAATTCTGCGCATGTGCAGTGGTGCAGAATTCCCCCAGGAGTATTTGCTTATATTGTTACAATTAGTGAAGTAGAACTGATTAGCTGCCTGTATATTGTATAAATCTAGAGAATTACTTCCCTTTATTTAAAATGTGTATATTTAATCTGTGATTGTTTTGTTTTTTTGTTAAGATGACAAACACACAGATCTTCCAGATTCAATTTCATACTGGATTCATAGCACTGGGAACAACTATGCTAAAATTTACAAAGTAAGTACCTCTTAGATCAGAGACCAGTACTGCATGCAAACTTCAGCATGTTAGCTGCATATAAATAATCTGACCATCACTGACTAGTTTGATAAAGTAACCAATGCATGTTGGCATATAAATAGGTCTTCTAAGACCTGCTGCCTGAGTAGCTTTGACAACATTACTGATAAAAGACTAAACTGTCAGACTTTTATTCCAGTGTCTCTTAAATACCTGTTCTGAGGTGCTGGGGAAATGAGAAACGGGGTTTTCTGCAGACCATTTTTTCTTTTACTTTTGAGGGAGCCATCTCTTCCCTAGGTACCACTCATTCATTGATTCTCAAACTACATAATGGGCAATTGTGAAAATGCAGAAAAAATATTTGGGCTTCCCATAATGAGTGGTCCTCTTCCTCCCTATTTTTTTTTAAATGGTCCAGGTTACTTAATATATTAAATGAATGCATGATGTGCCCTCTTCTTGTCTTGCTGGCTCATATCCACTCTGGACTCTGCAGTAGGAGAGCTGCCTGGAGCACCTGGAATATACAGTAGAATGTTTTACTCACATTTTCTGCCTACTAAGTGAAAGTCCCTTAAAGGGAAAATACTCTTGGACTTGCTGAGCCTCCCTAGAAAGGCGAGTCTCCCCTCCCCATTAAGCAGAGATAGGCAGACCTGAGCCAGCTGAAGGGATGTCCAGGTATTAGTTATACTGGAAACAAAAGGGAAGTTATGCCCACTACTTCCCCAAGGCTGGTGCGTTGTGGTAAAATATCCTAGGCAAATGTCTTAATTTCTGAGATACAACTTTTATTTTCAGTGCCCTAGGTAACTTAATAGGTAAAACAAAGAGATCCTCACATATAGTCTGTGGTATATCTAACCCCTGCAAGGGTGACCGCATGGTGGTGTGACGTATGGGAGGATGAGGGGAACAATAAAATGGGTAAGATCTTGTTCCCTTTCATGGGTGAATGGAATAAGATACTTTCTCTGTAGAAGTGTTCAAGGGAAATGTCTCTTATTGATTATATTAACTCTGTTTTACAAAGTCTTAAAATAACCAAACTAAGGCTTGAGTACTCTAAGAATGTTCACTGCTTACAACTTTTGCATTCATTAGACTGCAAAATCAGATACGGAGTATGCTCTTTACGTGGTGCAGTGACAATAGCTTATTACGCTACTGTTTTTCCTGACTTCTCCTAACTGCAAAGTGGTAGAGTCCAGTCAAAAGGCAGCTTGATCCATGTGATGGGGTGTAGAAACCCCACACTGGGTCAGAGAGCAGAAATGAGTAATGGTCTGAAACTGAAAATGACAGACCAGAAATTTCAAGGCTGGAAGAAGTATGCAGCCTTCAGGCTCCTAATCAATAATTGAGAAGGTAACAGAATAGACAGAAGGGAACACTAACTCCCCCGACTCAGAGGGAACTGGCTTGACAAGGACTACACCCATGTGATGAGACAAGGAACTTTCTTGGGGACTGATTTACAGACTGTCCAATCACTGGATGAGTAGGAGAACATGGCTGTGGTTTCCAGTATAATGACAAGGCCTAGATATGGAATAGTTGATTTGGGGATGTGTCCTAGCCCACATCTACCTTATGGCAACGAGTTTGCAACTCGGAGCAGACTAATTTGGGTAACTGATTCCATTTTCATTAAAAATGATCTCTATTCAAGAGAAGTGTAGAGAGCCAACAGCAGTTGAAAAATTATAGACTGAGTGCGGACAGCAGCACAATCTGTCAACAAGCGAGGTTGATTTTTTTTGAAATGGGAACTATTAGGATGGAGTGAGACAAGAGTCTTTAGAGTACAATTTCTGCCCTCCCCCTCTCCTTCCTTGGGCACTAGCTAAAGAATAACTTTGCTGATTTGTACGATTCATCTCATAGTAACACATGCCAGACACTTGCTTCATCCTTGCCACTTTGCTGCTGTTTGTGTGCAGTTGAAAAAGATGCTAGGAGTGAATAGGGGAAAGTGTAAAAATCAACGTGGACGTATACACGCGTTGAAGACTTCAAACTTTATTTGTGTCCGCAAAAAAAAAAAAAATTGCTTTACTACTTTTAACTGAACAGCTTTCTGTCAACATTTAGACCAGAACTGGATGCATGTGACTCCCCAGAAAAATATCCACAGCTGTTTCATGTTACACTGGAGATAGAAATAGAATCTGCTGATAGACAGACTGACCTGACTCCTCCCTGGGAGAACTTCACAACAAAAGACATCAATGCAAGCATTCTTTTCTCCTCTCACCAGGAACATCAAGATGCTCTCGCCTTGGCAGGTGAGAACTGCCCTGCTTTGTGCACATTCTTAAGCTTCTAACGCTGACGATGCCCTTTTACTATCTTGTGACTTTCTTCTATCCTGGTGCATTTGGTTCTTTGTCTTGCAGGTCGAAGCTCTGTAGATGCACCTCAGGATAACATAAAAAATGTTGGACAGGGGGCATTCCTCTCCTCTCTCAGCTGGCAAGGTACTTGGACTTGGCCTCTAGTATTTTCAGCCAAAGTATTGTAAAAAGTTGTCTCTAGTTTTTAAAGGATGAATTTGCTCAAGCAAAGGGTCAGCTTATGAAAGACAAGATCCCATTAGATCACCGTGGGCTACTGGATAGGCTGCAATTTGAGTTAAAATGAACACTCCCTTCTTCTGAGGTGGTGAGATCACTGTGCCTACTTGCCCTGGATTTATCTGACTGAGGTAGTTTGTTCATAATTTCAAACTTGAAACCATTGATTCCAGCTGCTAATACCCATTAAAAAACCGTTTTAAAATACTTGCCTTTTCCCAGTATTTCTTTCACTTGCAACATCCCTGTGGCACCTTTATGTGACTACGGACAGGGAGGAAGTGGTCTGTGCCTGCCAATGGGAGGGTTGGTGTTCCATGGGACGTAATGGTCTAATAGAACACGTTCCACATTATGAACAAGCTTGAGAACCTCTCCTGTAGCCTGTATAGCACAAGTCTCCTGCAGCATCTTTACAACGTACAGTTTAGGAATCCAGCATGAGGATTCCCCCTTCTATCAAATTAAAAAACTGGATTCAAGTTCAAGCGATGCTTTCATTAAAATGCTTCTACGTTTTTGCCCTTGCCATGTGTTTTAGTCCCCTATAAATGAAATCAGAGACCAATCAGTCGAGGCACCACATCTGGACCCAGGAACAGCTTCTGTTCTCATCCAGGGTCTTACGCTGTCCTGTTCTGTAGGCTCAATTTCCCTATCAGTAAAGTGTGGATATTTCTGTATGGTACAGAGTGATTGGGACTTAACTAATCTTTATTAGGCACTTCCATTTTAAATGTCGCTGAACACGTGTGTTTTGCTATTGCTGCCTTTTTCCATGGGAAGCTAATAAAGTCAGTGTATGTAAAAACCCAAAGGACCGGAAGCTAACGTAAATTCTTTTGCTCACTTAGATCAGAAATCTGACAAAAGCAGTTCTCACCCCACCTCTGAGGATCGGGCAGCACTAGTGCATGAGGAGAGTGAACAGTCCGACGATGAACTCTTATCCCTTTCCAGTCAGCACAGCAATGCTAGCAGCGACAAAACCCATGGGACTCCAAAACACAGCAAAAAGCAGCAAGAGCCTCCAGCACCACTTCCGCCTGAGGATATCGACCTTCTGGGTCTAGACGGTAGCCCTATGAGCAAGAATTTCCCTGCTCAGTCCACTGTTCTCCCCTCTAACTCAGACTTGCTGAGCGATCTGTTCGGGGTCAGTGGTTCCAGGGCCCACAGCCAAGGTGGACAGGCAGCTGCTGAGGATGTCTTTCATGTGGGTGGGCCTGGATCCGCACACTCCACCCCTCGACGCGCTGCAGCTTCAGCATCTCCATCTCCATCCCCAAGAGTAGAAGGTAACACTTCTTAGCCTAGTGCCTGACTTGGTACAAATGTGTGATGTTATCCCAGTGTTAGGCTCATTCTACAGTCGTTTCTGAGCTATTGGACTTGTAGTAGAGATGCTGGACGAGTGAGATTCTACATAGGGAGGGATTTGAAGTATCTGTGAGGCCTTGCAAGGAAACCAGGGCATTTTGCACTACACAGAGCATTGCCCTCTGAGGAATCTCAAATACAACATTTCAGCGCTAATGTGCGCGCATACTTCTCGGGTGAAGGGACCTGTCCATTACACTCATGTCCAGGTGAATTAGTTATATTGGTGACATTTAGTATTTTATTTCTGTAAGTTTATACTTTGTGTTGGGGGACTATTTAAAATGATACTGTGTAACAAAGGTAGAAGGAGAATATTTTAGAATTCATAAATCTTAGTGACCCAATGTCCATCTAAATGAAATTGACGATTCCAAACTGTGAAGATCAGCAGATAATTCTCCAGTTAGAGGGACGCTGTGGGGGCTGGTTGGTAGGTTAGAGCATACCCCTGCTGTTGGATTTATGCTAGAGATGGGCCTGTATAGCAAAGTCTGGATCTCCACTTTCTCTTAGTTCAGAGGGGTGAGGAGCTGTGGTCGCAGTCCATCTCTGTCTATTTCTGCCTTCTCTCTTCTTTCAGCAGGCAAATACTGAAACATTAAAAATTCTCTCTCCTCCCTGCCTGAAGAAGTGAGGTTTTTTTACCCACTAAAGCTTATTCCCAAATAAATCCGTTCGTCTTTAAGATGCCACCAGACTCCTCGTTGTTTTTGTGGATACAGACTAACACAGCTACCCCTCTGATACCTGCCTGCTGAAAAGTACAAGGCAGACTGTTTAGATGACACTGAGTGTCAATGAGTTTGCCCATAGGCTGAGTGTAAGAGATAAGGGAGGGGGGCCAGACTCCTTGGGGAAAGGAGGAATGAAGAGGAACTATGAAGGAAATGCTGAATGCCAGAGTCTCAAAGGCCCAGATTGGGGAAAGTCTGAGAAGTGGTTAATCCACTTTGCCAAAGGCAGCTGCAAGTTCTCAGAGAATGGAAACCCCTGGTCTAACATGATTGCAAGCTTTGGAGGAGCTATTCCAGATCACTGGGCACAATACTTAAATTGCAGCGTGTCCCTATTGTGGGTGGGCTTTTTGTTCTGTTTTAAGAGAGAGCTGTAAAGCTGAACTTCTTCCCTTTTTTGTATGTTTGAACACACATTCAGAACCAGTTAAAGAAATGTATGGTAAAGGCTGTGACAGTTTCTTTTTAACCCACAACTATCAGTCTTGGGGCTTGTCTTCACTACCCGCCTGGATCGGCGGGTAGAAATCAATCTCTTGGGGATCGAATTATCACGTCTCGTCGGGACGCGACAATCGATCCCCCGAATCGACGCGCATACTCCACCAGCCCAGGTAGGAGTAAACGCCGTCGATAGAGGAGCCGCAACGGTCGATTTGCTGCCGTCCTCACAGCGGGGTAAGTTGGATTGGATACATCGACTTCAGCTACGCGAATGCTGAATTTGCGTATCTTAAATCGATTTCCCCCCCCGAGTGTAGACCTAGCCCTAGTTTCAAAGAACCTGTTTAGCGGCAGCATACATTCATCGATGCATATGCTGAACTTCCTGATAATATATATATTTTTCCTCTGCAGTTTAACAGCGTTAAATGCTGAGTGTTAATGCTGTGGTGTTTTTAAAATCCGCTTGTAGCGCACTAGATCAGGGGCGGGCAAACTATTTTGGCCTAAGGGCTGCATCGGGTTTCGGAAATTGTATGGAGGGCCAGTTAGGGGAGGTGCCTCCCCAAACAGCCAGGCATGGCCTGGCCCTTGCCCCCTATCTTCTCCCCCCCCCCGCCTCTTGGCCCCTCACAACTCCCCTGGGACCCCTGCCCCATCCAACCACCCCTTCTCCCTGACCGCCCCTGGAACTCCTGCCCCCAGGACCCCTGCACCCATTCAACTCCCCATTCCCTGCCCCCTGTCCACCACCCCGAACTCCCCTGCCCTCTGTCCAACCCCTTGCCCCCTTACCGCACTGCCTGGAGCACCGGTGGCTTGCGGCACGGTTGTGGCTGGAGCCAGCCACGCCACCGCGCAGCACAGAGCTGGCCGGCTGCCCAGAGCATTGCGCCAGTGGCACGGCGTGCTGAGGCTGCAGGGGAGGGGGAACAGCAGGCCAGGAGCTCAGGGGACAGGCAGGAGGGTCCCGCCGGCTGGATGTGGCCCGCAGGCCGTAGTTTGCCCACTTCTGTGCTAAATCAACACAGTGTAAGACTTGAGTAGAGTTCACTGTAGTAACACCTACTAAATGTGAGGTTTTCACAGCCAGTTCCTGAAGATCCTAAAGCTAACTAAAATCAGTGAATCTAGTGTTCTATTTTTAGAGGGAAACTTGTATTTACTAGTGCCCAGACACCAGATGTGTCTACAAAACAAATTGAAAATTGCGACCGTTGCAATCTAAACCATGATGAGAACAAAAATCTTGGTGAGGTGCGGGGATGGAAGGACACTGACCGATTTGGAGAAGGAAGAAGTGAGTGAAGGCCAAGGTACCTAGGTTCCTTCTGTGAGCAGTACGCTCATCCTGAATATCTTGCTTCTGATATGATTGTGGGTTATAAGCCTCAAAGTTGATTTGTGAGAAGACTCTTAAGAGGGTGATGGTGTGGCAAAGGGCAGGAGCAGCCCTAGACATTGTCAGTCACGGTGAAAAACACATTTGGTCCCCTCTCCCCAACGGCTGAGCAAGAACGACAAAACAGCCAGCCAGCCAATCGGCAAATGGGGGAAATAAAAAGCACAGCAGTTAGGCACCCCCTGGGAGTTGGTGCCCAGGCCAATGACCTGCTTGTCCACCCCTAGAGCCAGCTCTGCCACTAGGGTCAGGAAAGGATCTCCAGGCAAAGTGGAACCATATGTTAAGGGGCGGGCAGGTAGTGGTCAAATGAGCAGCTTGGGCAGAATAAGGAGGACAAATGAGTGAGTAAGCCAGTATTCGATTATTAAGTAACATGACCGACGCTGCTACCACATAAGTGTAACTTCACTAGCGTACAGTGTTCAGAGCTCAGAATCGTCTTCTGTAACGTGCTGTGTTGTTACAATAACATTTTGAGTAGTCAGATTAGATTGCTCCCCTCTCTCCTTAAACTTTGCTCTTTGTTGTTGGCAGCTTTTCCGAGTTAAAATGCGATGGGCTAAGCATGTATTCAAAACGGAATTTATGGAAGAGCTGAACTCAGTACCCATGTCACAGATGTGGAAATGGTTCATATATACAGGAAAGGCACTAGTGCTTCTCTAAAGCTATTTCTACAAGAGCCTTTCGGAAACTCCATAATCTTGGTGACATCCTCTGGGTGTCTTCAAAGCTTTTAGAGAACTTCCAACACTCCCCATCTTATTTCTCAAATAGTTTTAGGAAGGGGAACGGGTTAGACCCCAACATCTGAAGTTTCTGGGCTATTCACTCATTTCTCCACACAGTGTGCAAGTCAGAATTTAACATACATTCCTATAGCTTCCGACTTCAGCTGAATTTAGGAGCAGTTATCCTCCTTGGATAAGACAGATGGGATGTGCATCTGTGTTGCCATGGATATATCCTACAGAACCTAGAGTTGTAGCACTTGGTTGGAATACTTTTATATATTCAGTGTAAATCCCAGTTATCAGTCTGTCTCTCCCGGTTGCATCCTACCTCCTGTTAGTGTCTGTGGGAGTTAGAAATGATGCCTACTTGTTTTGAGGAGAACAGCTCTAATCCAGACTAATTAGAAAGGGAAAGCATGGTGTGAAATGGAGAAATTAACCTCTAATGCATTTTTACAGCAACTGCCTTTGACCCATTTGGAACTAGCCCAAAGCAGTCTGGTCCAGATCTACTGGGTTCTTTTCTTGGTTCATCAAATGCCACTGGTGATCCTTTCCTTCAAGCAACAAGAAGTCCTTCACCTACCGTGCACAGTGACCCTTTTCACATGGGTAAGAAACTCAATGCCTCATCTATAGTATTTAAAACAGGTGTTTGTATAAGTAATGGTGAGGTAATAAGCCATTAATAAGCACGAACGTGCTTATCTCTGAAATAATGACTAAAGCACAGCTGCTCAATGGAGAGAGAAGAAAGGGCTTTCAGTCCCTAGATTTGCAGCTTATTTCTAATTTGAATCCTGTTGCACTCCCAATCTGTATTTAATTATTGAGCCATTTGTGCACATGAAGAAATCGGACCGCTAAACAGCGACGCCTGCTTGTGTATTCATGTGGTTATGAGGTCTGATATGAACCAAATTACTATTAATTGCACAAAATAGGGCACAGCACACGGAATCTGGTAGAGGAAAACTCCGGACTCTTAGTGTTTAGTCAGGCATCATCCTGGATCTAGATTTCTGGTGGTTCTTCACATCAGACTTATTTTGTTGTTGTTCAGTTGTTTCATTTTATCTTTGAGTCTCCATCAGACTGATGCTAAGCTTTGTGTGTTTAAAAAAGAAAAGGCAAGGAGCTTTTCTGCAGACAGCAATCTTCTCCTCTTCCTCCTCCTCAATCTGAATATCGTCTCTCTATGCCCATTTATTGGTGCATTACCACCAAATAGTCTCTCACTTGAAGTGAACTAGATATCACCTTGTTCATTCAGATACTGAGAACTTTTGATCCTGTTGCCTTCTCTGGCTTAAACAAATCCAGCCCCAAATTAATCCTCGTGTCTGATCATCTAAAATGCCTTTCTCGGGTGGAAAGAGAACAGGAGTACTTGTGGCACCTTAGAGACTAACAAATTTATTTGAGCATAAGCCTTCGTGGGCTACAGCCCACTTCATCAGATGCATATAATGGAACATATAGTAAGAAGGGGTGTGTGTGTGTGTGTGTGTGTGTGTGTACATACAGAGAACATGAAAAGGTGGCAAGTGCCATACCAACTCTAAGAGGCTAACTAATTAAGATAAGCTATTATCAGCAGGAGAAAAAAACTTTTGTAGTGATAATCAAGATGGCCCATTCCAGACAGTTGACAAGAAGGTGTGAGGATACTTAACATGGGGAAATATTCAATTTGTGTAATGACCCAGCCACGCCCAGTCTCTATTCAAGCCCAAGTTAATGGTATCTAGTTTGCAAATTAATTCTAGTTCAGCAGTTTCTCATTGGAGTCTGTTTTTTTGAAGATTTTTCTGTTGCAAAATTGCCACCTTTAAGTCTGTTCCTGAGAGACCAGAGAGTGTTAAAGTGTTCTCCTACTGGTTTTTGAATGTTATGATTCCTGATGTCAGATTTGTCCATTTATTCTTTTGCATAGAGCCTGTCC